GGCAGAGTTCCTCCCAGCCTGGAAGGAGCTCTGCTGGCTGCAAGAGGAGGACGCGGGGGGGTGGAGGTGGGCGGGAGCCTGGCTCAGTTCTCTTCCTCATGCCCCCCCCCACACACACACCCCGCCGGGAGGTTGGCATCTGCACTTGCCTAGAGCGCAGGACAACCTCGGGCCAGCCCTGCAAATGGCCACACATTTTATTGCCTAGGAAATTGGGAGTCTCATCCCTGGGGAAACATTCATTCATTCAAATCCTGGGAATAGGATGTTGTAAACTTTTGAGTACACTGAGAGGAATGCTCTGCTTAGAACAAAGGGCTCGCAAAGACTCATGGTCTGGTGTAGTGAAACAGGCCATGGCTGTCAGCTGTTTTTCTAGCAATGACAGAGATAGGTACATGGATTTTATAAACTATTTGGTTCATTTTAAACCCAAACCTTCCATATTTCTAAAATTTCTTACCACAGTAGGGATGCCATTTCCCAGTTTGTGTATTTATTACCCAGTTGGGAGCAGGGGATCCTCCAACTTTCAGGCCTCTTCCCCACCAGTGGGGGGAATCCCACCCCCAAAGTGACGTAATGACATCACATAGAAGTTGGATTGTAGGTGGGAAGGATAAAAGGAAGCAGGAAAAGGGGAGAGACTATGAGGGGGAGGGGAAAATCAGCCCTCCAACTCCTTGTGGGCCCTTCACTTGTCCTGGTCTAACACACGGGTGATGGAGGAACACTTGTACCTAAAATCCTAACTAAGTTGTTATAGGGATCTGATTACTGAAAAATGTATATAGCACAAGGAAACAAAATGGCACACAAAAGTGAAGATTTGATTAGCAAAAGTTTTGTGTAGTGAAGCAAACAACAAACACCCAGTTCTGGTTGGCTGAAGGCCTCTTTATTAGCAGTAAATGTAGGGCAGGTAACTTGGCTATTGGAATAAAGAACAACAATATTTAACTAAGCTGTTTCTAGAGGTCTAGGCCAGGGTTGTCCTGGCCTGGTTCTGCAGATTCTTAGTAGGCCTTTCACTTCTGCAGTCTGCTAGCAGGGAGATTGAGATGAGAAGCACTGAGTCCCTCTGTTGTGAGAAAAATAAAATAGTTGGTTCAGAAAATTTAAAACCCATTTATACAGTTAATTTTATAAAGAAATCATAGTGTTTTTCTCTCCTCTATTTCTGTAACTTTCCAAGCATCTAGCAGCACAGTGAACATGACTCCCAACATTTTTTTTGCTAGGCCTTTGTCTCAAGAGATATCTTTCCTCCATCACATACACAGGAACCAACATTTGCATTAGATTGTTAATGAATCTAAAGAATTTGGAAACATTTAGAAATAAAAGACTGGTATGCACCTGCCATTAAGCCAAGGAAGCCAGAATATTTGCAATACTAAAGGCTTGCCTACATGTAGAAACTCACATCACACCTCCAGCCAGCAGACAGTGCCTGACTGGCTGCCCTAATTCAAGGAAACAAAGAACATCCTGAAATTGTAAGGATTCTTGTGTTTGTCATTTAAAAATTTAGGTGCTATCTTGCATTGTTTTGCTAAAAGCATCGGGGTAACCCCATTGCCTCTGGAATTTGGGAACATTTTCTGGACCATAATGGTCCACATTACCAGGACAGTTAGATTAATTGATGCAGTTCATAATTTCTATAGCTCTATCAAAATGTATGGGACCAATATGGTATAAAAGAAGGCAAGATGCTTCATTTCAGCACTGACACTCGGCGATCCAGGGAAGGCTTTGTCTTTCGTGATCTCTCTGGGCCAGTACAGAAGCTTCTGTGCATGGGGAAATCTTTGTTCTGTATATTTAACCACTGACTGTCTTTTTTAGGAAGTATTCTGTTTTGTATTCCTTGACTGTCTTTAGCTAATAAACAATTTTATTGTTTAAATAACCTTGTGTTGCATTCCAGCTAACTTCAGTTTCTTTTAACATTCTACCCCACCTTGGTAAGGGGCACTCACCAGACCATTACGAACCTAAAGGGGGTGGGAACAGGTGCAGGTAACACTTTATACAGGATTAGTTTAGACTGACAAGTGCTACAGTTGCATTTTTCCCAACACCCTCCTGCTCTCCTGCTTGCTGTGAGGCCTATCAGTGTAGCCTCTTAAAGTGGCAGTACACAACAACAAGCCGGAAGTAAAACTGAATTTGGAGGGGGGGGGGAATTCCAATCAAGCCAGCAACCCTATGAAATTCAACAGCATGTCTAATGTGCACCTTTTTAAAGAATGTTTGAACCTTTTCACTTTGTTTCCACTTGTGTATAGGCTCTCATTGCATCCTTGGAACTGTTACCAAGAAAGAATATCTGGAGAGTTTGTAGTGCAGTTTGTACGATCAGTTACTGCCTTTTTCATAGAGCCAAGGATAATATGGCAGGCTTTCTGGGGATCCTTAATCTGTAAAAGCAAATTCACATCTTTCAAATCAGATGTATACATTTATAAATAGTCACCGTCACCCTAATATGTTTCCTTAATTGTCAGGGGGTGTAAGCGACTGGAAGACACTTTTCAATGAAGAAAACAATCAGGAAATGGACACAATATTTAAAAAGCGTTTAGGAGGAACCAAAGTGGGAGAAAAGATAAAGTACGACATTTACTGCAAGATTTGAAGACTGAGGAAGGACCACTCATAAATGATCACGTGTTGTCTCAGAAAACAGCAAGAGACTGACCTTCTTGAAATGCATTTAATGATAATCATACTTTTCCTCTGTGTGAAAAGGCAGTAGAAATCATATCTACTTTTTCCTATTAATACTTTCAGCATGATTTAACTATACATATATACTGAGACTCTATTCAAGAATTGCTAAATTCTTCTTTCAGAAATATAGTCTAGGTGATACTTTAATTTGATTAGTCTTTTGTATATATGCAAGCCTTAAAATTACAGGGAGACTGTAACAACATACAAATACATATATCTATAGTTAAAATAACTGATAAAATAGATTTCAAATGAAAACTTTTTGAACACTTTTTATTGTTTCTGGCCAGCATCTTGTAATGCTACTCACAAAATTCCAGAAGTTTAAATTTTGATCCACTGCCATATTGTCAGGTCTATGTGCAAAGAACCACTCAATAAAAAAAATAATGTTTTCAAAATATTGCTTTCCTGGTTTTGTATCTCCACCTTCTGGACAACTGAAACACCTCCAGGCCAACATGTGCCAAGCATTAATACTTCAGTATATAATCCTGAGTTGAAAATATCCTGCCTCATAAGCATTGCTCTGCTTCCCAGTTTTTAGAGTATAATACAGTTACAAAATATTTTATAAAACAACTGTGTTTTGTCTGAAGCAATTGTTCCCATCACCTTATGAAATACAGCTGGAAGTAAAGTTGAGATGAGAAACTACAGGAAAGGAGGTGCTCAGATCTGCTGATATCATGGTGGTTTGAAAGAAACATTTTAGAAACATTTATTTGCCTCAGTCAGTCAGTCAGTTTATTATTACAGTCATCGACTAGTACATATCAATTTGAAAGACAAATAGAAAAATTCCCGACAGTATCCTGGCTGGTTATGAGCCAGAAAAAAACCCTTAGTAACGTAAAAGATTATATGTTATATAAAATATAATTCAAAACTTTAAACCATTTAAAAAGTCAGTTTAAAACAATTTTTGCTAAAAGGTAGAGATATGGTCTATTTGCCTCCCTTTTTGCATTCCTTATATACCTGGATGCAGAACCTAGCCACCTGTCTTGATGTATGATGATTCCTATCTGACAAAAGATATTCTAATTTAATTTTGTTTGCTCTTCCTGGGAACCTTTCCAGCAGTGGGCTGATTATTTCCTTTCAGCTCGCTGTATGGAAAGAGCAATTTAAAAAATATGCTCCAGAGAGTCTATTTCAGTCCAGGAACAAGTGCAGAGCCTGAGCGCATAAGGGATCCCTCTGTACCATCCCTCTATTACTGTGGACGGCAAGGCCATGCTCCCTGCTAGGGTGAAGGCCCTTCTGGTATTGTAAGATTCAAGAAAATATAAATAGGCCACAGGAGCAACCACATATCCACTGTTTGCTGGAGAAAAATAATTTGGTGAACTGCAAATGTCTGCTTGCCTTTCCGAATCTAACACTCTCTGCTTAATAAGCAATTTTGCTCGATTTATGCCAAGATTTAAGAGGACTTGGGGGGGGGGACCCAACTTTTCAATGGACATTTGGACCGCTTGTAGCCAACTGCTCTGAAATTGGTCATGCAGGATGAGAGGGAACAGCCCCTTTAGATTAATACTGCCCATTATCCATTTATATATAGAAAGAATACAAATCCAACTTCTACCCGGGTCATTCCTTTTTTCCAAGTGAACCCAAGAGTTTGATACACACTTGGGTACCTGAATTAGCGCTCTAAGTAATTTTGATTGAACTGTCTTGAGTGGAGAGAGGGAGGAAACTGAAGACCCCAGAAATTTTCCGTAGGTTAACTGGGCCAACACCTTGGCTTTGAACAAGCAAAGTGCTGTCTGGACACTGTAGTCCCCCTGTGTCCGGTAGAATTTCAGAATACTATTTACTGATTCCTCTCCTACATCAGCAGCGCTGCTGTTATGAATTTTATTGGAACCAGAAGCCTGCACCCTTACTCCCAGATATTTCAAGCTTATGTCCTTGAAGCTCCCAACACCTGGACCTTGTATTTTTCCTAAAGGCCAGAACCTTTGTTTTCTGATGGTTAATTTTAAGATATTCAGTTTCACAATAAAGGGAGAATTTCTTCAGAGCCCGTTCCAGCCCTATAGAAGTCCTAGAGAGAATAATGGCATCATCCGCATACAGTAGCACTTGGATGAAAACTGGGGGATGAAAATGGGGGTCTTTCATGAAACTTCCCGGGTTATATTTCTTTGCCTCAGTTATACACCATGTAGTTGGCAATGTCATTTCAACCAATAAAGCATCACAAATAACTTTGAAAACATAAGTAGATGCAACTTCACACAAAGGCCATTACCACTATACTCCAATGCCATTCAGATGGGAGATTGCTTTATGACCTTTGTGAGACCACCAAGGCCATGATCTAAGAAAAATGATGTAATTTCAGAATCCAGAATGGTTTCCCCCCCTCCCCACATTTAGTGGGTATTCCTGAAAGTTGGGAAGGATAGTACTGGCTCCGATTTTTTTTCTGGGTTCCAGAAAATAGGGCAGGAGGGTTGGCTTGCTGATGACCATTTTCAGAGGCTTTGTGACCCACTTTGGGGTCCCAACCCATAGGCTGGGAATCATTGTATTAAGCATCACTACCACAAATCGTTTATAATGTTGCCTAAATAATGTCCAAGTATGGGCTGTGGGCACAGCATTACCACCATTAAGAGGAACATCCTGTGGTTTACAGTAGCATGGTGGGGGGCAGAGACAAATGGAGAGCTATAGGATGGGGGATGGGGTGCAATAGTACTTTGATTGTTGCCATATTTATTTCCAATGCAGATCCTATGTTTCTGAAGCCTCCTGTGAGCATCTCCTGAACCACTGGTCCACATCCACAAGTAAGAAATGTATCTGCCCTCCATCCCCTCCCCCTCTGATTGAAATGGAATGGTATTGCAACAATTACATGTATTGTACTAGGAGCTGGCCATCCAAATTATATTGTAACTAGGAATATGGCCTGTTGTGGAAATAAATACAATGAGCTCTAGAAAGAGGCTCTGGGAGGGTGCCCCAGCCTTGGGCACTCAGTGTCAATTTGCTGTGGTGACCTCAACAGGGTATAATGACACAGAGTCCACCATTTTCTCCAGGGAAGAAACCTGACTTCAGGTTTCCATCTCCTCCTCCCTCCCTGCAGCCTCTACCTAGGAAAAATACAGTCTTTCTCTTCAGTGGTTATTAAAGCAGCTCACATGATTTGATATGATTTATATCCCACCCTCCCTGCCAAGGCAAGCTCAGGACGGCTTACAAACAATTTAAAAAACCCAGTTAGATACAGTAAAATACAATAAAACCTAGTATAAACTTATAATTTACATTAAGATAACAGTCAATTAAAAACGGATACATAAATACGCTGGAACACACCCAAGCAACAAGCGGAGCAGTTCTTATAACCATGGTTTAGGTGACTGTTAGATGTTCCATATATTGCAGCTGTACAGTTCTCATTTATTATGGTGGCAAGCACAGGTCAGGATTGTGATGGTAGGACCCAGGTTACAGGCTGGAAAGCCAGGGCACAGTGATGTTCCCCGGTGTGTACTGCAGCTCCTTAATCGAATGCCTGGTGGAAGAGCTCCATCTTGCAGGCCCTGCGGACCTGCAAAAGGTCTCTCAGGGCCCTGATCTCTACCAGGAGCTTGTTCCATGAGGATGGAGCTGCCAAATCATTCTCCTCTCCCCCTTTCAATCTGCACAACAACCCTGTGAGGTAGGTTAGGCCGAATGTCTGTGAGTGGTCTGAAATCACCCAATCAGCTTCCACAGGAAGAACCTGGGTCTGGCAGACCCTGCTCTGAAGTGCTAAGTGCTACGTCACATTGGCTGTCATGGGGTGGTCACCTCAGCAGGGTATAATGACACAGAGTCCATCATTTTCTCCAGGGGAAATCTGCCATCCGGAGAGCAGATGTATTTCTGAGTGATCTCCAGCCCTCACCTGGAGATTGGCAACAATGGTTCCCAGGAGGAAATGGCTGGAGGGTGGAGTCTATGGCAGTGAACCTGCCTGAGGTCCCACCCCTTTTAACCCCCCCAAGGCTCCACACCTCAAATCTCCAGGAATTTCCCAATCTGGAGTTGGCAACCCTATCTTCTTCCCAGCCAACCATCAACCTACCTTTATCTGCCACTCTGACTTCAGCTTTCCATCTCCTCTCCTCTCCCCTTGCTCCACCTAGGAAAAGTACAGTCTTTCTCCCCACTGGGGACCAAAGTAGCTTACATCATTCTCCTCTCCCCCTTTTGAACTGCACAACAATCCTGTGAGGTAGGTTAGACTGAAAGTCTGTGACCTGTCCAAAATCACCCACTCAGCTTCCACAGAAAGAACCTGGGTCTGGCAGACTCTGTTCTGAAGCGCTAACTGCTACGCCACACTGCCAGTCTTGGGGGGCTGCTGCTGGTAAACAGAAGCAAGCAGCCATGTCTAGTTAAGTCATGTCAGTCAGGCATCATGAAGTCACCCAGAGAGTGCTTCCAGGCCTAGGGTAGCCAACCTCCAGGTGGAGCCTGAAGATCCCCTGGTATCATAACTGAACTCCAGAAAACAGATCTCTCTCCCCCTGAAGAAAAATAACTGCTTTGGAAAGTGGACTCTATGGCATTCTATTCAGCTGAGGCCTCTCCCCTCCCTAAACTCTGGCTTCCACAGACTCCACCACAAAATCTCCAGGAATTTCCCAACCTCGAGTTGGCAACCATTGTCAGGACTGGCCCCAATGAGTTCCCCACAAAGGCCAAAGTAGGCCTGGAAAGGGACTCCTGCCCCTGTCTTTTGACTGACAGAACCAAGCTTGGTTGCCTAGCAACAGCCACTGAGGGGAAAGTGAGCCCTACAGTAGGAGAAGAAGAGAATGATTTGATGGCTGCTGGCCCACCTCAGTAGCCAGCCAACTGCAGAGGAACCAAGCAGGAGGAACATCTTCATCAGGAGAGACAACCATTTTGGCACTTTATTCTGACAGGGAAGAGTGGCCAAGCCGACAGTGGGCGGGGGTGAGGAGTGGATCCAGTACCCAGTCAATGGCACGTGAGTACTCTTGAGTGGTGGTTGACAGGCCAATGGCTGATGGAGCACACAGCACAGCCAATGGGAGAGCTGGAAAGTGCCAATACACCAGAGATTTTATATATTATAGATTAACAAGTAGGCACATTCTTGAGAGCAGTTTTCTGAGGTCTGGTGATGTGTTGGAGATGAAGAAGTAGCTCACTGGAGAATCAGAGTCAGCAGTTGATAGTTTAGCAAAACATGGGTAACAAAAGACTAGTCACATGCTTTTTTTCTTCTTGATGGCTGAATATGAAGTGAATATTCCTGCTATTTATAAGCTATTCTAGCTCCTTATGCTTCCTTGTTATATTATAGTGCTCATTCACTTCACTGCC